TGACAAATTGATTAACTCTTTATGCCTAAGGGAAGACAAAGAGTGTATACACCGATGCCATTGTGACCGATTCTGTGCCATGCCACCACGAGTCTCCAACCATTGGTTGCGATAGTCACGCGGACCCCAACCAAGTAGTCTGCATCTACCAACATGGCTCAGACTAGAAGTTAGTGACTCCAAGCACTGATGCCACGTTTTGGTTTGACCGCCCCTAACCTTCTTCCAACCATCTCCAATACCGGATAGCGTTGCACGTCGTGGTAGTCGGTGTTCAGGCATACGTAACACGTGGCCCAACCATCTCAGTCGATGAAGATTCATAACCTCATCAACTGATTTACCATCATTCCCTAATACCCTGTGTGTCTAACCTCACTATTACTTACCCGGTGATCCCAGCAGACGCCAGCAATATTTCTGAGGCATCTGTAGTCAAATACTAGTAGCTTACGAATATCCTCTACTCCTAATGGCCACGTTTCGCAGCCGTAAAGTAGAACAAAAAGAACTACCGCGCAATATACTCATCCTTTCATTGATAGACGGATATCTCGCCTACGCCATAGGTGATATAAGTTGGCAAAAGCCAAATGAGCTTTTCGAATCCGTGCAGAGATTTCGTCAAACACCAACCCATTAGGGCTGATCAGACTTCCAAGATAAGTGAAGTTGTCAACGTGTTCGACTACTTCACTCCCTATCCTTAGTTCAGGTGTTGACGCAGACCAGTCTTGAAGCAACAACTTGCAGCGCATTCCAAACATTCTGGCATTGTTGCTCAGTACTATCAAAACACTCTGCATTTTATCAGCGTCTTCACCAAACAGGACTATGTCATCTGAGTATTCTACGTCGATAGGTGGACCTCCTGGAAAGAGGTCAGTGCTCGAAAATTCAGTCGACGAGAAAGTTATTTCCATCAGTAGATCTATAATGAAGTTAAACAAAAATGGGGAATGTGGACAGCCTTGACGGACACCACTTGAGGTTGCAAAAGTAGATGACAGTTCGCCATAAGCTCTGACTCGACTGGTAGTGTTCGAGTAAAGAGCCTTCACAAGGTTTATGTACTTCTGAGGTACGCTTTTCGATGACAGACACTGGCACAAAACCTCTCGGCCTATAAAGTTAAATGCTGCTTTTAAGTCAAGAAAGACCACCATTGTCGGACGCCGATAAGCATGCCTGTGTTCTAGAATCTGACGAATGGTGAATATGTGGTCGACGCAGCCACGACCAGGTCTGAAGCCAGATTGATTTCCTCGTGTTTGCAGTCCACGTGTCTTAGGCGATCAATAATTATTGAGGCTAGTATTTTAGATGTTATATTAGTCAAACTAATCCCTCTATGGTTGTCACAGGATGATTTTGACCCTTTCTTATGTATTGAAACAATTAGTGATTGTGATCAGTCAGACGGGATTACGTCCAACTCCCAGATTTTAGCTAAAAAATTAGTCAACCTAATCGCTAAAACAAGACCATCATACTTACAGATATCTAGAGCCAAACCATCTGGGCAGTTGCTCTTCGTCAATTCAGATTAGCTATAGCTTTTTTAACTTCAATTAGAGTCGGGGGACCTACTTCAATGTCCTGTTCAGGCTGTTTTGGAATGGTGAGTAGTTGTAGAGTAGCTGAATTCCAGATGAACTGCTCCTCAAAGTGTTCCACCCATCATTCTAAACGTCTGGGATAAAAGTTGTTGTAGTCTTTTTCCGAGATTGTCTCACATTTGACTTCTTAAGTCTAGTTTCTTTTATTAGTCTGTAGAGCTATCTTGTGTTCCTTATAGCCGCCGCCTTTTCCATTTCTTTTGCTTTCGTTGCCCACCACTGCTCACGGTCGTTTCTTAGACTTTTGCTTAACCTAGACCTGATTTGTTTTCGCTCTTCATCGTGTCCAGAGCCTGATGGGATGAGCTTGCGAGAATCTATCACTGCAATATACACTGAAGAAATCCATTGATTTTTGTAACCTCTTGGTTTAAATCACTAATAGATGTCACTACTGTTTCCACAGCTGTTCGTATATCGTTCCAAGCAACATCTGGATCAGCCTCGTTTTCAGAACTACCTCAGTTGTTCCTGGAACCTACTTTTGGTTTTCTCGTTACTCAATTCAGTTCTAATGGGTCTTTTTAATGTGGCTTTTTTGCGTCCAGTGAGGCGCAAGCAAATGTGTGTCCGTATTAAGGCATGGTCGGAGTCCAAGCAGGTACTCCAGAATGAGCGACAATCTTCTACCGACCCTCTCCAACGATGACTGATGGCAATATGGTCTATTTGAGTCCATCGTTGGTTTGGTGTAGGGGGCCACCATGTTAGACGATGTCTCTCCTTATGCTTAAAATTTGTGTTTGCTGACAACAAACGATTGTCTGAGCACAGTTGCAGCAGACGATCACCATTATCTGTTCGTTGTGCCGGAATACTAAAATACCCGCCTAAATGCCTTTCTGTTTGGTTTAAACTACCTATCTGAGCATTAAAGTCACCTGCTACGAGTACTATGTCTGGACGTTTAGCTTTCTGAAGAAGTTCAGATAGCTTTCTGTAAAATTCATCTTTCACTTCATCTGAGCTGCAGTCGGTGGGAGCGTAGGCAGAAACGACAAAAAGCCAACGACGTGTGTCCCTATCCTCCCGAGTTCTTACGGAGCCGTTTAGCCGAACAGCACATAAATGACTGTTAACGTGGATCCACTCTAACAGTGCTTGTTCTGTCCTTATGCTTAGTGCTATCCCTACTCCTGCCAGTCCACGAGGACCAGCCATTGGGTCGTCAGATACACGGAGGGTGTATCTCGTCGGCTCTCCGTTTTGCCGAGGTGAGGTCAAGAGAATGATCACACTAGGATCCTGTGCGCGTGTTTTGGAAACAGCTTACATCAATCGTACGAGATTCTAGGGTTTCAGCCCAGGAGGCCTGTTGACCGGTTTGATATAGGATGCTTACGTTGAAGGCTCCAATGTGTAGTTTGGAGCGAGATTTCAGTAGACGTGGGACAGTGTTTTGAGCACTAGAATCGTCAGCTATGGTGACACTTGAGGGGTAAACCGAAAGAGGAAGTTTAGAGGTGAAAGTCGATGTAGGAGGAGTAATAGGAAGTGAAGACGGAGGTTGATTATGAATACAGTGGTTTTGAGTGCTGTTAGAGGTATGAGGGCGGTTATCACTTCCCAGTTGCCCATACCGTGGAAGGGTTGTTCTGGAGGTACCTGAAAAGGAAATTGGATTAGAGGTGGTCTCAGTGACCTGAGATCGTGACCGCAGTGCCCAAGGGACAATTGCTGGAGGTCGGTCACACACGACCTTTTTATGGGTAATTTTTGTGTTAGCTCCGTACTTGTTCAGACTACTGCCGGAGACGGATATCTGTGGGATAAGGCTATCTTTTTTAACCCCACCCCTCCTTGTGGGAAGGCAGCGTCGCTGTCATGCTGGTTGTCTGAAGGAAACACCTTACTGCCGTCACACCTCTGTACAGTCAGCAGTACGACTTCTCCTTCGGACCTTGGGATTGTTGCTTTTAGTCTTAGTGCTCTTCAACCGACCTGTCTGACATTATAGGACCTTGAGGAACGGTTGTTCCAGCCAGTATAGCTCGGTTGCTTCATCACGATGGGCAAGCCCGACCACCACGTCAAGGTAGCAACAATGTTAATACTGATTTATTATCCAGAGTGGTTATCACATTGTTTTTGTTTGCTTTATTTAATTATTTATTTATTTATTGTTATGTCTTACATTTAACGTGTCTAGTTGACCTTTTAATTTTCATATAGAAATGTCTTAACAAGTGATCAGATTGTTCAAAATGTATTGCGCAAATGTATCACATAATTTTAATAAACTTCGTCTTGTCATTCACTTATCGAAATACAACGAAATAAACAGTTACAAATTACTACTTCCATTGAATGGACTCAGAATTCATGGTCAGAATATATGATTCGAAGAAATCAAAACCTATATCACCACATTCTATTTTTATTCAAATTTACCACAAGTGTAGTTACTTCAAGGTTTCCTTCTGAATGAGAATTTTGGAAAAATTTTCATCTCATAATATACTGATTGATTAAGCAGTTTTAAATAAAAATCTCAAAGTATTCTATGTAAGCTCTCTCAACAGACACTAAAAGACTGAATCGATCTAATAAAAAATAATGATGTGCAAGAACGCGTTAAATACTAACGAAGTTTCAGCATCGCCATACAGATGATTTTATTATGAACACAAGTGTAAATGCGAGAACCTTAAATATGGTGTCAGATGAATGCTTTTAAACTGTTGAAGACTAAGAATACATCGCATGTATGTATTTAATTTCAAGACTATTAATAATTTATCTTAATGCTCATTAGATAAATAAATAACAGTTCGCGAGTAGGATAAGGAAAAACAGTGACGATCGTTACAAGAATTCAACTAATGTTCACCTTCATTTTGCAAATGAAATGTAGTAAAAGAATGATAAGAAGAATCTTACGGATGTCAATCTAAAAAGTGACATAAATTTACCGAGCGCCAGTTTGATTTTGTCACGTAAGCATTATAAAAACACTTGGAATTAACTTAGATTTACAGATTGCGTAGACATTTCGAAGTAATTTCCTTAAGAAATATGAGCACTTATATCCTGATGACAAAATGAGACGAAAAAATTAAGACTGACTGGAGATAATTTATAATAACAGCATTAATTACTGATGGTTCATTTCTGCTTTCGCAATTTCTTACAAATGCTAGATTGAACTTGTTGTTATGGTTAATGAAAAGATGCTTTGATAAGTTTTAACAACCGGTGTTAAGTTTGAGAAAACGGTAAAAGTGGTACTTGGTCAATCAAAAACGACTTTATCACTCCTGATTAATTGGCTAGTCATATAGGCGTGGAAAGTACTAGTTTAATTTGAGTGGCTTTCAGGTACGAACGTAATCAATGCTTAAGTTTGGTAGTTGTAACAGGTTTAGTTAGATAATAACTTACTCAGGATCAACATCAGGAACAGGAAGGTGGTTTCTTACAAAAAATAAATCACTAGGAGTTATTGGGTTGCTACATATTGATGAAAGAGGAGTTTCCGCATTAAAAGGACGTTGCGAAACCACTTTCAAATCCGGATTTCTCTGAGGATCAGAACTATATATATCTTCATTGTCTTCTTCTTCGACAAAGTCCTGATAAGAAAGAATCAGGAAAATAATTACAAAAATCACAAACGAATATCTCATGATCAGTTTAAAATATCAACGCACTGGTTTTTAAGATGTATGCGAATTTAAAATGTTTCACTTTCATAGGCTTTGAATAAAATTCGCAGATAAAAGATAATAAAATATTTTACACTATGAACTAGTAGATAGTAAGAGGGTGTATCCTTATTTTAACCGTTTAAGCCACTCAAGCGAAAATCAACATAATTGAACGTTAGGATTTTTCAAAAACCCTTTGAACTAAATATCGTAATAAATGTGAATACATACTAGTTATCTTTATATGTAAGTTAGAAGATAATGAAAAACTGCGTAATCATAACTGACAGATACTAAAACAGCCAGAATAATATACAACTTTACGCTCAACTAGAAATAAAACATAAAAATGTATTTATGAATAAACAAATAAATTAGCATTCTTTTCAAAGAATGCTGAAAACTTTAGATTTCGTACATTCATGAGAAAAGTAGCGATTCATTATACATAAATCAGTGTTGAAGACGAAATAGAAAACATCAGTTAAAATAATTGAATAAATACGTCTGGTCACCTTCACAGTCAATGAAAAAATAGGCTACGAAAGAAAAGTAGTCATCACTTCATTATGTGAGTATCCGGAAATTTTGTTTCAGGCATGTATATTGTGTTATACAATAAATATTTAGGATAGTATGACTCACCAAGTAACAATCACTTCCTGAACAATGCCAACCCACTTGTAATAGCTATTAAGAAAATTTATATTTCAGCATCGATTCGTGTACAGAAGACAGGAAGAATTTCTCTCTTAATTGACTGAATAAAGTGATTTTCGAACTACAAACCAACGCTTTTGGAATGCTCATGCAACTTTTGAGTTTGTAAACATTGAATTAAAAGTCAACTAAAATAGCCATCAAATTATTGAAAAAGAGGTCCCGACTGTCAAAAAACATACTAAGACGTTTCAAAAGATAAATGGGTACTAAGGAAATTGTCCAAACAAACGGGTTCTGGTCATGATAAAGAACAAAACTAGATCAAACATTCCAGGTGTACGATGGCCAAGAAATAAGCCAAACATTCAGGTATTAATTCATTGTAGGGCTAAAAACCTGCAAACCTGGTTTCTTCCAATAGCCTACGATATATATAATTATCTTCTATCCGACATCTCATCTGAAAGATTAATACAATATCAGTCTCATGAGCAGTTATTATTATTTTTATTTTATTTTAACACATAGATATTGGTACAAGGAGGCACCAAATACATATGCGCTACACAAATCTCATTCTATATGTGTGAGGGCTGTGATACTGCTCGGGTGCCCGAACCGAAGCAGGTGGTTATCTTAGGGGGCCACTCCCCGAGACTTTGACTTAAAGGTCTAACCCACAAGGCAGTGGAGCATCGTAAGGAGATGCAGTCCCATGGAAGCCAGTGACCAACAATTGGTTCATACGCCATTTGTTCCCGCAGGATACTGGAGCCCATGTGCACCATTGGTTTGGAATCCTGTTAAAGCGCCAGACATTCGCTTTTCGTCCTCCCATTTTCGTAAACAACACCCCCTCCACGAGAAGGCAGTGAGTAAGACTTCCCTGGCAGAGGCTATATACGCGTGGCCATGTGAGAGCATTTCGAGAGGGACAGCGGACTCTCCCCACTCTCGGCCGTACCAGGACATTTGGGGGCAGTTATTACTTGACATCATACTCCAGCGTTCACTTATCGACTGACATTCTTTTTATTTTGCAGTTACTAAGTTCTTATGGAATCTGTATGGAATACTTCGACTAGCTGCGTGAATATCTCAAGGCTTTGTGGATCGACAAATGAAAAATATGTAGTGCAACTGAAACTATGGTATTAACATAAATTCAGTCCCCTAAACTCTCTAAAGTGAATACATTGCCTAACCATTAGATCCATTTTTCTAATGTTCTCTAAAACTCATTAGAATGGTTTACAGCTACTTAAGGGGGTTATAGTGTAAGTTTATGTTTGCTTTGTTATTGGTCTAGCCAAAATTCTCTTAGTTATCATTCAATTTTTAAATCACTATATAAAATTACGAAAGCTAACATGAAGAGCTAGTTACTGTTGAAAATTCGATTTTGACTACGAACTCCGTGAACCATATTAACCAGTTTATCAAATCTGGCAACAGTGCCGATAGACTACACAGCATAATCTCCTTGACTGGTAGTAAAGTAATGTGGTTGAAACTAGTTTATGACAGGTTGTAAATATCAACTTAATGTGTTACTGGAATTCGAGAATGTCGCTTTGTCGCGCAAATGAATTTGTAGTTGTGTAGCTATCGGAAGTATAAACTTAAGATAAGTAACCCTATCAAAAACAAGAAATAATCAAGCGCCAATAGTTTAACATCCCGAATTCCAACATCGAATATGGTTTTGAATTTCAGTTTAGTGACCATTTGAAAACTAATTTATACTGCTTAATTGCTGTAGACAGTTGTCGCTAAAATATGGTGGGAATAAGCGGTCGAAACGTCAATGTATAATAAAATTGCTAGCTCAATATTCAAACTTTGGTGAGTAATTTACGTAAACTAAAGGTAAACCAACCTATGATTTTCCATTTTTATTAGGTTGTTTGACCTTAAAACGACTAGCTGTGAGCTTTGACAACTGAGCTATACCCAAAAATTGTCTGTTTAACATCTAATAATCACTAAAGCAAAGAAAACTCAAAATTTAAAGGTCAAGTAGTGGGTTCTTACCGATTTGTCAAGTTCTCCAATATAGTACTTCTCTAGTATTTTCAAAACATGACTCTGGTAGTGAAATGCATAAACGGACCAAAATGAAGAGACGTCAGACCCAGCGGCCAAAAGAATTTTGTCACCCCCAGGATGATCGTCAACAAAACTCGTAACATCGTACACTTTACCTTTAAGAGAGACCCAAACTCCACGTTCCTTACAGTTATGCTGAGCAAGTTCCTCTAGTGTAATGATACGCGGCTTCTTAGACTTTGAAATCCAAGCAATTGCAAAAATTCCACAAGAAAGTCCACCTAAAAAAACTACAAATCACTCAAAATTTTACCACATAACCACCACCTTGATATGTTACTGGACTAACGGGGATTTTCGCCAAGCTTCTCACTTTGTTGGATGTAGTATGGAACTGCACAATTTGTCATCTATAATGACAACAAACCTGATTGGGGAGTTTATGAAACGAGATAAAAATGAGGTTTGTACGCGACCTAAACATAGATTACTCATCAATATCGTATAAACAGATAATACGATTGTTTCTTTGCCTAAAAATATAAAAGACATGAACTAATTTGCACAATTCCTATAAATGATGTTACCCAAATAAAAACGCTTCCCTGTAATGTGTTAACTAACTCATATGAAAGGAAAATCACGATAGATGTAAAATTAAGAGAACGGTGCTCCGAACACCTATGAGTACCCATCCGTACTTTGACCTCTATCATTGAAAGGATACAAACATACCCAATCTCCCAGTTTCGGGGAAAATTTGACCCACTTTGGGGAAGCCGCCATAGTAAACTTTGGGGAAATGGCACGAATTCAACAATACTTCCCCAGAATCTTATTACGTTTTGTGGAAATCGGCTTACATTTATTAATAAAACCTCAAATTTTTTCACAATTTTGGGGAAATTTTGCGTTTTTCCCCAAAATTTTCCTTGACTTTGGGGTTTTTCACCAAAATTTCTCCAAAGTTGGGAGCTTGAGATATTTAATTGAATTAGCTTAAGGTAAACTAAGCTAACTTTCAGCATGACATCAGTCAGGATTACTTTATCCATGAACTTACAAAGAGCACCGAATCGCAGGCTGAAATTTTATTGTTATTTTGAACAGGTTGGGAACTAAAAATTCCGTAAACAATAAATCATGAACAGCACAGAAGTGACACCAAGGTAACCTTGAAGTAACGCTTCAGTGGTATCGTCCACTGATAAAGGTTATTGAGCACTTGAAGGTCACACTGTTGTGAAATGATTGGTGCTTCACCTCTAGATTCATAAGGTTTCGCAAAAGCGGTCAAATCAAGACAACCCTTAGATTTTATTTAACTTCAGCCATATTATGTCCGATAACATTAGTTTCAGTTTGGAAAGGACAAGAGGATTGATGGCCTGTGTTAGTCCTGGCAATGGTGGTCTCTCAGTTGATCCAACTTTCTTTTGAAAGAGTAGACGGATGAAACCTGAACCACGTGCTCAGTTCATGAATTCCGCTCGTCGATGATTCAATGAGAAAGTCGTTAGTCAGCTGACAAGTAATTTGTTATGGGCTTCTGAACTTTTTTGCAGTGTCCTCATAAATTCTCTGTTTTGGAAGACAAAAAAATGAGGGCATATCAAGTGAAAATTTATCACTAAGCTATTTGAAAATTGTAATCAAGTTGCCTCTAGTTCTGCGATATGAGAACGGGAATAGATTTAGCTTGACCAGTCGAGCACCATACAGAAGCTTCGCTATTCCGTGAGTCGGTTTAGTTGCTGTACTCTGAGCCTTTTCCAAAAGCTCACAGTCTTTCTTTAAGCAAGGGCTAGCCGCTTGTATCCAGTATGCAGTGGACTTGCCTATGTTAAGCTTATTTAGCAGACCAGAGACATCGAGCGCTTTAATGGTCACGCTGTCCAGTGTTTGGGTGGGGGTATTTGTATAGACTGACTGGAAGGGTGCTTCTATGGTATATACATTGCTAAAGTAGTTTGAGAACACTTGAGCCTTAACAAAGTCGTCCTCCACTGATGATGAGGCAGTACTGTCTCCATATAGTGCAGTAATATTTCCTCTTCTTTTCGTCCTTCGGTTTATATAGGAATAGAAGCGTTTAGGACATTCTATGGATTCCTCAACAATTTTTTCTTCGTACAACTTTCTAGACATACGAAGGGTCGAGGAACAGGTATACCGAGCTTTTCGATACTTAGATTTTGTCTTGTCTGTCCCCAGTAACCCTAATCTATTCCACATTTTTCTTCTCTTACGGAGGAGGATGTAAACCTCCCTACTGAATCACAGTAAAGAGCTTCTCGGCTCCCTTGGTGTAATCCAAGCCATGTCGGGTAAAGTAGCTCTTAAGTATAAATTTTGAAATGCGTCCCAAGCCGTTTCAATTGATGAATCTTGCTCTATTGTCTACTGACAACGCTGAGTGCATGACATCTTGTGTGTTTGCTTTCCAGACGTTAGGTCTTGAATGAGCTGACGTATGCCCATTTTTGACAATTATATGCAAGTCAAAGTTTAGAATTACATGATCACTTTTACCCAAGGGTAAATATAATCGAGGTTCGTAACGTCATCCTTATAATGAGTCAATATGATATCTAGTAAGGACGACCCAGAGTCCGGGTCGTACATAGTCACTTCTTTCACATGTTACACTAGGGCACATATGATAACCGCATCAACTAGTTCCTGCTCGAAGGAATTATCTGACAATCCTGGCCCATCATCAGATTCATATGAGTGATTGAGCCACTCTCACAAAACAAATGATAACCCAGTTAGGACTCTTGTGACTTTTGCAAATGTGGTTTTGGAGAAAGCCTAGTTACACTATTCATATAACTATTTTACAATTTCCGTGACTTTAATGTAGGCAAATTTTTAGATGGGTGAGTTCTCACGTGATTGCGTCGTAGACGATTGACATCAAATCGTATTCACACTATAAGAGGTGTCACGTCTCTGAAGTGGTATTAAATCGATTATTTCTTCGCTTGTTTTTCACTTAAAATGACTTATTTCCAAATTTTCCATATGTTAGCTCTTTAACTTACTTCCTTACGCCTGGTACTCCCAATGGAGCATAGGCCGCCGACCAGCATTCTCCAACTCACTCTGTCCTGGGCCTTCTTTTATAATTCCATCCAATTTTTGTTCATTTTTCTCATGTCTATCTCCATTTCCCGGTGTAATGTGTTCTTTGGTCTTACTCTTTTCCTTCGGCCTTCAGGATTCCATGTGAGGGCTTGTCTCGTGACGCAGTTGGGTGCTTTCCTCAATGTATGTCCTATCCACTTCCAGCGCTTCTTCCTGATTTCGTCCTCCACTGGGATCTGGTTTGTTCTCTCCCACAGTTGGTTGTTGCTAATAGTGTTATTATTATTATTAGAAGCTTTATTCAACATTATATTTTTGGTACAACATAGAATTCTCAGCATAAAGTATTTCAACAAGTTTCCTTTTCTTATATCTTGATCGGTTGTGACGATAAATTTTGAATGATGACCAGTTTGATGTTAGGAATTCGAAATCATTTCGAGTTATCTATCGCATACCTCCATCATTTCCCGACGGAGTCCGTTCCCGTCTCCTATATATAGCTGAAGCCATTGAAATTCGTACATATAACCCCAATTTATGTGTACAGAAGAAATACGTGACTCCCGTATCCCTTCCATGACCAGTTATAACTTATCTAACAATTTTTTATTTATTTTTATTTCATTTTAAATTTTATTATTATCATTATTTATTTTATTCTATCTGTGTTATCGTTAACCTTATTTCCACATCTATTATTTGTTTGTAATTTTCCGCGTCTTTGTATTCTTCACTATCTAATTATTTACACACATCTTATTACGTAATGATTTTAATGTTTTGTGATTACTATTCCTAGTCTATTTGCCCATATTTGTTTGACCTTCTATTTCCAACGATTAACTATTGATAAGAGTTTTGTTATTGTATTTTATTATTCTCACTATTATCAGCTCACCTGTCTTCGTACTATCAACTTGTACTTTTACCTATTATGTGTAGTGACTTATTCTATTTCATAGTGATTATTGACCCATATTGCCTTGATTGGTTTAAAATTTTCGAATAAATATTCATGTATATTAGAGTAAAGCCTGATGATGATCTAATTGAAAACAATTGTTCGCTTATATGTGTTAGGAATTCGGTAATCCACATTTGATTAATGTTCATTCGTTTCATTTCATACTGCCAGCCACCATGATGTCGCTGATTGTACCTTTCTGTATCCCGTATAGCGAAAGGTTGTAAACTTTTCATAAACGCGCCCGAATAGATTGTGAGCACAATAGACATATTGATGTGCTAAAACAAACAACAAAACAGATAACTTGAAGAAATATCTAGATTGGAGGAACAGGTAGCCCAGATATTCAAGCAGGCCGTCTGCCAACGGATCCGAAGTATTTTGCATAGACAACTGTTAATAAACACCTGTATCTTCTGGATGATGGCTTTCGTAGTTCTCTAAGGTTCCGCCCCATACAGTAGAACTGTCTTGACATTTGTATTGAAAATCCTGACCTTGATGTTGGTTGACAGTTGTTTTGAGTTCCAGATGTTCTTTAGTTGTAAATATCCTGCTCTTGCATTTCCGATCCGCGCCTTCACATCTGCACCAGATCCACCCTGTCCATCGATGATGTTGCCCAAATATGTAGAGGTTTTTACATCTTCCAAACCTTCTCCGTCAATTGTGGTTGGGTTGGTGCATGCTATGTTGTATCGGAGAATCTTACTTTTCCCTTTGTGTATATTGAGACCTACTGCTGCTGAGGCTGCTGCTGTACTGGACGTTTTCGCCTGCATTTGTTGTTGCGTGTGCGATAGAAGAACCAGATCATCTGCGAAGTCTAGATCGTCCAGCTGCATCCTAGATGCCCACTGTATTCCGTGCTTCATTTCAGATGTTGACGTCTTCATGATCCAGGAGAAAGAGAAAGGGTGAGAGTAAGCAACCTTGCCTGACACCGGTCTTTACCTCGAACGAGTCTGTCAGCTGTCCTCCATGCACAATTTTGCAGTTTGATCCATCATAGGAATTCCGTATGATATTGACTATCTTCTGAGGCACGCCGTAGTATCAAAGAAGTTTCCATAGTGTTGTTCTGTCCACGCTATCAAATGCTTTCTCGTAGTCAATGAAGTTGATGTAGAGTGATGAATTCCATTCAATTGATTGTTCCACAATGATCCGTAGAGTTGCGATTTGGTCTGTACACGACCTATCCTTACGGAATCTTGCCTGTTGGTCTTGAAGTTGGGCATCTACGCAGTCCTTCATCCTGTTTAACAATACCCTGTTGAAGACTCTCCCTGGTATTGAGAGGAGAGTGGTGTCCCTGTAGTTATTACAGTTGCTGAGATCGCCTTTCTTTGGTATTTTGACCAGAAGTCTTTCTTTCCAGTCTTTTGATACTTTTTCCTCATCCCAAATCTTATTGAAGACAATATGGAGTATCTTTGCAGTTACTGCTACGTCTGCTTTCAGTGCCTCTGCTGGAATGTTGTCTGGTCCTGCTGCTTTGCCACTCTTCATTTGTTTGATAGCCACACTGATTTCTTCAATTGTTGGTGGGCCAACATTGACTGGGAGGTCCATGGGTGCTGCTTCGATATTGGGTGGGTTCAGTGGGGCTGTTCGATTCAAGAGTTCTTTGAAGTGTTCTACCCACCTGATTCGTTGCTCTTCAATGTTGGTGATTACCTCGCCTTCCTTGCTTTTCACTGGTCGTTCTGCTTTGCGGCGATTTACAGAGAGTTTCTTTGTTATGTCATACAGTTGTCTCATGTTTCCTTCTCTTGCAGCCCTTTCCGCCGTCATTGCTAAATCTTCCACATATTTACGTTTGTCAGTTCTGATGCTCCTCTTCACTTGTTTGTTTACTTCTGTGTATTCAGCTTGTGCCTTGGCTTTTTCTGCTCTTGTTCGACTGGTATTGATTGCTGCTTTCTTGTTCCTCATTTCTTGAATCTTATCCAGTGTATCAACAGTGATCCATTCCTTGTGATAGTGCTTCTTGTGACCCAGGACCTCATGGCACGTTGAAGTGATTGCTTCTTTTATCCCCTTCCTGTTACTCTCCATAGTAGTTCCATCTCTATTGAGTAGATCATGAAAAGCCTGGAACCTATTGCTGAGGACTATCTTGAATTTGTTGAGTTTGTCAGTATCCAGAAAAAAAGTTGTATTGAACTTTTGAGA